TGACCTCCCTGGCCGAGGGACCGCAGGGTCTCAATTTGGTTGTGGCATGTAAATACCTCGCACAGCAGAATTTCCCTCTGACGAGTGTGTTGTGTCCCTGGCTGCTGTGGGAGCGTGGCTGCTGAGGCATCTCATCTTTCACCCTATGTCTCTTCGCTCTGTGGGTAGGGGTGACAGTGTAGGACTGTATAAAATGCTGTCTCCTGACAAGGATAATGAGGCTGGTGAAGACATCAGGTTTTGCATAATCATATGTTGTCACCACCATAAGTAAAGGTGAGAATCCAAAGCTGAAATTCTTTTGTGTGCATATAACTTGTCAAACCTCATCTTCTTCCCTATGTGTCCTTTAACATTTGTCCTTGGGACCCTGTGGCTGCCAGGCTGTGAGCTGCATCATCAGCTCTGACAGGATGGAGTGGAGAGAGATGAGTTCACGGCCATTTGTGCCTCCTAGCTACTCTTGGCTGACACAAAAATCAGATGAACCATGGTCTGTCACACAAATATAGAGCAGATCCCACAACCTTTCTTTTCACATCTGCTGCTGGTCCTGTGCTGAGACTGACACAGGTTTCGTAATTCTGCCTGTCAGCTTGTGGCTCTGTACAATAGAGCTTTCTTGTTGGGAAAACCATTACAGCACGTCAGCAAAAGCGTACCAGGTGAATGGAGCAGCAGCTGCCTGTAGAATAAACAAGTTAGATGTCTGTGAAAATAAAACTGAAAATCAAGATGCTTCAGGACTGGGCCTGGACATTTAACAGTTTAATTTCTAAGACAGAAGCTTTAAAAAAACCCACCAATTATGTTGTTTATCAGTCTGTCATTACCAGATTTTAATAATCAGTAAGTAGCCACTAAGCATTTATTTATTTCTGATGAGTAAAACCAAAGGTATGTATGCAGGAAGGGGCCAAATTCAAACAGATTTCTTGATGAAAAGTTTTCTGGACATGGGGCATTGGGGACTGCATCCTGAAAAACATCAACTCAGCAAAAGTGTTAGGGATCAGGCTGGATGCAGAACTTTTAAGGGACCAGTGCACCATTGTAGGGAGAGAAGAGAGGTCTAATTTAATACTTGTTTAATGGGATTTATAAAATAAACATATTTCTCCTTGCAATGCATTAATGGCAGTAATACTTAAATTCTGTATCCGATCCCAGTTTTCACTAGGATCTTTAAAAGGTCTTTTAAAAACGTGCAGAAGGTATAATTATCAGTGGTTAAAAAATTCCTGGAAGTGAATGTGGAAAGGATGAGGTGTGAGCAACTTTCCTTTCCCCCCACACACCTTGTTTTTATTTGTAGTTATTTGGATCCCTGTCCAGATAATTTGAGGACAGACTTTGTATCATCCAAAGACAAATGTCTAATAACTATCAAATGGATTGATTTGTCAGGTCCATCTCTGTGAGATATTTCTGTGCTGGGGATGGAGGACAAAACACTGGTAAAAAGTGATCAAGAGAAAACAGGCTGAGAAGGTTATTAAAATTATGGGAAAGGAGTTGTGGGGTTTTTTTTTACATTAATTGAATAATAAATCAATAAAAGGGTTAAAATAGCCCAATAACATGTGGGAGAGGACCATTAGTTATGTCTCATCAGAAAAACTTCTTAAAATTGGATTTACTTGATTCAAGCCCAAGAAAAGGAGGGACATCTTGAGTGCCAGAATAAGCATTTTAGTTGTTTGAGAGATCAGAAGAAGGACTGCATTTTGTGTATATTATGCATATCCTTTCTACAGGATTTAGACATACAACTTCTTATTGAATATAATAATCATCCTGCAGGCTGGGGGACTGGCAGTATGCTGGCTAATCAAGGAAGAGCCTCTTGGGTAAAGTCTTGTATGGGAGGGGAGATAAGAGGTTTGTCTGTTCCTGTGTAGAGCTTAACCTAGTAGCCAAGGAAGCATCAGAGAGAAGGGTTGAAATTTCTGGTTTGGATAAGAAGAGAGTCTTCGAATAGGAGGTAATTCTGTGAGGTGCCTCTGTAGAGAGGATAACTGAGTTTTTGTGGCTGGAAGAGGTTGCCCAGGAGCAAACAGGAGAGAGAAACGCTGCTAGTAAGATCTGTTGGTTTCCTCAAGATCCCTCCAGCCTTTAAAAGATAGAAGTGGGAGACAGGGCTCCAGGAAGGCAGTGCTGGTAGAGCAATTAGTGAACTGCTGACTGAGGTGCTGGCAAGGGCAAGGTTTTAAGAGGAAGAAAGAGGTCAGGTGATGCATAAGTTGGATGAAGCTAATGCAATGACTGAGAGTACTGGATGGGACAAGTTTGGTGCTAAGGAAGAAGGGCTGGCAGAAGAGCTGAAAAATGTCTGTAGTAAAGATTTTGGGAAAGGAGTTTTTAAGCAGCTGAAACACTAACCATACCCCAACAGTATGAGAAGAGACTACCTTGACAAGAAACTATATTGTACTGACTTTCTGTTACTCTACTTTTTAATTTATTTTTTTCCTTCTCGCATTTACAATTATATCCTATTGCTTGTTACCTGGCTACAAGCTCATTTCAGGTAGTTACAGAGAGTGATGAGGTTCATCCCTCATAGCCTCCTTTTCTCCAGGCTAAACAACCCCAGCTCCCTCAGCTGCTCCTCATCAGACTTGGGTTCCAGACCCTTCACCCACTCCACTGACCTTCTCTGGACCCATTCCAGCACCTCAATGTCTTTTCTTGAAGTGAGAGGCCCAAAACTGGACACAGGATTCAAGGTGTGGCTTTACCATTTCCAGGTATGGGAAGTGATCACTACCCTGCTCCTGCTGGCCACACTGTTGCTGATACAAACCAGGATGCCCTTGGCCTTCCTGGCTGCCTGTGCACACTGCTGGCTCTTGTTCATCTGGCTGTTGACCAGCACCCCCACGTCCTTTTTCACCATGAGCTTTTCATCCACTCTTCCCCAAGCCTGTAGCACTGAATGGGGTTGTTGAGACCCAAGGGCAGGACCTGGCACTTGGCTTTTTCGAACCTCATACCATTGGCCTTGGCCCATCAATCCAGCCTTTCCAGATCTCTCTGCAGAGCATTCCTACCCTCAGTGCTTCTGCCCAAAGTGTTGTCATCTGGAACTGACTGGTGCACTTGATCCCTTCATCTGGATGATTGATAAAGACATTAAATAGGACTGGCCTCAGGACTGATCCCTGGGGATCACCACTTGTGACCACCACTACTCGCTGGGCGTGTCTGTCCAGCCAGTTTTTTACCCAGTGAACAATACATCTGTCCAAGCAATGAGCAGCCAGTTTCTCCAGGAGAATGCTGTGGGAAAGGGTATTAAAGGCTTTAGTAAAGTCTAGGTAGGCAACATCCACAGCCTTTCCCTTATCCACTAAGTGGGTCACCTTGTTCCAGAAGGAGATCAGGTCGATCAAGCAGAATCTGCCTTTTATGCTGTCTGGGCTTGATCCTCTAGTTGTCCTGTACATGCTGCTTGAAGACACTCAGGATGATCTACTCCGTGTTCCTCCTTGGCACTGATATCAGGCTGACAAATGTGTAGTTCTCCACATCCTCACTCTGCTTCCTTTTATAGATAGATGTCACATTTAACCTGCAGACACCTGGGACCTCCCCAGTTAGCTAGGACCACTAGTAAATGATTGAAAGTGGCTTGGTGAGCATGTCCACTAGCTCCCTCAATACCCTTGAGTGTAGATCCCATCTAGCCTCATAGTCTTGTCTGCATCAAAATGGTGTAGCAGGTTGCTGACAATTTCACCTTGCATTATGAAGGCTTCATTCTGCTCCCTATCTTCAAGCTTAGAGGGCTGGGTAACCCTGAGAACAGTTTGCCTTATATTGAAAACTGAGGCAAGGAAAACATTAGTACATCAACCTTTGCCGCTATATTTCCCCAAATTCAATAAAGGATGTAGATTTTCTTTAACCCTTCTTGTTGCCAATGTATTTATAGAAACTTTTTGAGGTCTTTTGTGACAGTAACCAGAATTAGTTCTAGGTGGGCTTTGGCTCTTCTCATTTTCTCCTTGCATAACCTCACTACATTCTTGTAGTCCTTCTGCAAGTTGCTAAGGTCATAATGTCTCCTTCTTTGGCCTCCCTTCGTACTTCAGAAGTTAAAACCTGCCTTTTATGATAGCTATACCCAAGACAACCTCCAACTATCGTATCACCCACAAGTCCTGTATTTGTGAAAAACAGGTCCAGTGGAACACCTCTGCTGGCTGAGTCACTCACCAGCTGTTTCAGGAAGTTCTCCCACACAGTCCAGGAATGTCCTAGACTGTTTCCTCTCTGTTTTATTGTATTCCCAGCAGGTATCTGGTAAGTTGAAGTCCCCCAGAAGAACGGGGCTAGTGATCATGGTGCTTCTCACAGCTGCTTATAGCATATTTTGTCTGTCTCTTCATCCTGGTTGGACAGTCTGCTACAGACTACCACTAAGATACCTGCCTTACTGACTGTATTGCCCCCGATTCTTACCTATAAACACTTCACCCATCAACAAACTCTATGTAGTCAAAACACTCCCTGACCTCCAGGGCTACCCCACCACCTTTCCTTCCTTGTCTTTCCCTTCCAAAGGATTTATAGCCGTCCATTGAAGCACTTCAGTTCTGTGGGTCATCCCACCATGTCTCTGTGATGGCCGTCGTCATAGCTTTCCTGCTGCACAGTAGCTTCCAGCTCTTCCTCTTTTCCTAAAGTTCTTGGTCATGGGGCTGCAGCTATGTAGGGTGTGAATTTTCAGACTGGGAAATTCGATGCTAAAGACAAAAATAATAATAATAAAAATCTCTTGTGTAATGGGATTAATCTTTCCAAGCTGCTAAATGCAAACTGAACCAGTAAGTGCAGAGAGTAGAATGGGTTAGGAGGTGAATTTTGTCTGTTTTTACTAAGACTGTTTGTGCTACCGCAGAGTTTTAAAAGCTTATTGGCAAAATGGAGCTGTTAGTTCCGGGTTCATACAATCAATCTAAATAAAGTCTGACCCTTATTTTTTTTCCTTTCAGGCTTGTCTAACACTACCTTGAGCCAAATTCCTAGACTGGTTGGTGCTTTCTCATGGAATCCCTGTGACTGACAAAGGAGAGATTGTTGTGGTAGGCATTTGCCTTGACTGTCTTGACAACACTTGGCTGGGGCACAGGCAGATGCAGTTTCCAGTACAGCCACTCTTTCACAGGACTCTTAGGCCAACAGGAGCTGTGGGAGGGGAGAAAAATAACCCAAGATAGATTTTCATAGTCTTTGGAACTGCTGTTGTGGTTTTTCATAAAAGTGGAAGCCACATAGCCTGAGGTACTATAGAGGAGGGAATTTGTCAAAGTTTGCTTTTAATTATGGAACTGTAGAATGAAAAGGGTTCATTTACCAAAGAAATGTAGGAAAACAACAAACTACATTCTAGTTATCTTCCTAGCAAAATCCAAGTCACTGAGAGACTTGTTTTGCTGAAGCTTGACAATTGTCTGAAAAGTACAATTTTATGGTACTACCTAAAATGGGTTCACTAGGCTTTTATTTTTAAATCTCAACATATATATAGACATATATATATATATAACATGTCTCTTTATTTCTCTGTAACAGAGCTTGTTTTACTTTCATATATGGTTCTTGATTTAATAGTTCAATTTCCCATGTACTCCATATGTCCCATATAGTCCATACTCCAAATAAGGAAGTGAGATAAGAGTGATTACCTTTTCATGGTGGCTACAGTTCTATCTGTATTGTGTAGTAAATTATTGATATATTTGATTGATGTGTTTCCAGCCAGTAAAAAAAAGTAGTACATATTTATTTTAGAAGGCAGTAAAAAGTTCTGTTTAAATAATTTAAGCCACTCTATTTCTCTGTGGTTTGGAAAAGATCATCCTGCAAATATCACTAGATCTGCAAGTACTGCATTATGCTTGCTCTAATCATAGAATTGTAGAATCAGCTGGGTTTGAAAAGACCTCTGAGATCATAAAGTCCAACCCTTGATCCAACACCACCATGGTTACTAACATGGCTATATGCAGAAATAATGACATTTTTAGAATCCTCATTTCCTCGTGAATTTCTGTTGGTAGCTTTCCATTTTCCCCAGCAATGCCACCTTTATAAGCATGCATCTTCTGGAGGTAGTACTGAAAAGTCACATACTTTCAGGCTCGCAAATTGTAATTTTTTTTCTCCTTTTCTTTGGAACTCATATCCTTGGCTTAGTTATCAAAATGAAGTGGTATTTTTGACTCTTATTGATCACAGGAAAAACCTCTTGTGTAAACATAATCATGGCCTCATTGGCTTGTATTTAAGTATTGAGTTTTCAATGTAACAAGCTGTGTGCTCAGCTTGAGTAACGTCTTAATGTAAAGAAATACTTCTTAATTGTATGACTAGTTGAAATATTTTTCATCTGGATTCTTTTTTCTTCCCCTATTTATTACTAAGTGGAAAAATCTGTATTGCCACATCATTTTTTACTAGCAGAAAAACAAAACAGGAGGCAGTGAAGAAAAGATGCAAATTTCATTTAAATCCAAAATATCTGATGCTATATTCCATATCCCTTGCTTAAAAAGCAAATTGACATTAAAAAAAAAAAAGTACAATTTCACTGTATTCTAATTTAACTAGTTGATTTCAAATATAAATACAGAGAAGTGAAAATTATTTTTCTTGTGTCCCTCACAGTTTGGGCTATAGCTAGTTAATTGCTTTTATAAATTTTCAGCTTACAAGTAATAAGCATTTTGCCTACTTTTTGAAAAGCTATAACAGAAACATGTAATTCATCTCTGATACTTAGAAACTTAAAGAAAATGTCTTTAGCAAATGGAAAATGACAAGTTTATACATGTCTGTTCTTTTGGTCAATGATTTCTTTTTAGCTTAAATAATTCCTCTCCCATTGTGTGATTTGCATTACCCTGAATCATGTGTATTCAAGGAGTGACTATATCTCTTCTTGATCTCCATCTGTGAAGCAAATAAGTGAAGGTCCCCCAGCCTCTTTCCCTGGGCTCTGCTCTTCACTCCTCTCCTGTAGAGTCCCATGCTTTTGGGCATAGGGGTTTTCCTCTGTACCTATTCTCCACCATGTTCTTATCAGCAGTGCAGCTGGTTCTCACTGGTTGTTTAGTTTTCTGTTGGGATTTTTCTAAAGATCCTCAAACCTCTCCAGGCACCATATCCCATTTTCTGAAACACAAAGGGAAAAGTGTGTGTGAAGTACTCTCCAGAGCTGTGTCAACTCTCTTGGAAAGACATGCTTAGCTGATCTGTCTTTTTTTCTGAAAGAAACAGAAACCTCAGTTGAGTATGGCTGTTTGCTGTTGTTTCACATTTGCCAGAACTTCTACGATATTTCATGGACTTTGATGATCAGTGTGAGAGCAGCTCTGACATGTTGTGCACATACATAGCTGAAATGTGCCTTGAGCTTTTCAGTCGTTCTGCTGCCTGCCAGCCCTGTTTCACTGAAATGGCTCTGAAGGATTACTGGAATGGAGCATGTCCTGGCAGAGGTCTGTATTGGAAAATATTTGTGGCATATGGATGATCATGAGGTATTTGTGTAGCGAACAAGAACATACCATACATAGCTCAGACGATTAATACAAAGCACAGGAGTGTTGCTCTCTGATTTTCGTTGTCTGGCAGGCAAGAGCCTGCCACTCCTGTCAGTGTGATAGTGGGCCTAGTGGCACAAGTAATTGAACCTTACAGACCGTCTAGAGAAAAGCTTGTGCTCTTGTCATCTTTAGAGATGCTTTCGTAGATGTAGCTTACTCCTGCTCATTAGTAGGGAGAGAAGGGAGCAGATGGGGAAAGTCAGTGCTTGTCAGAAAAATGCAAAGTTCTTCTCTAATGATATAGTGTTGGCTTGAAATTGTGGGATTTTCTAATAGACTTGTTAATTTTGTCTCATTGTTTATAACCTTGAAATAGTTATAATGTTTTATTTCACTGTGGAAAGAAGCAATCAAAATATTATAGCTTTGTGTTAGTTACTTAGAAAACATCTTTATCTATCTGTAGCCCTAGTGGTGGCTGAGACCTCTGTAGCTGAGTCAGTGTACCATAATTTAGTGACAAGCATGCAGTGTGGGTGATCAAGCTCCAGTGATACACTAATAATTATGGTGATAATGATGTTATATCTCATAGCAGTAGCCAAAGGCACAGCTTGGCTCGGTCTGACTTAGAAAATGGATAGCTAAAATGCAGTTTAATAAAGATGTAAATACAATCTGCCTACATAAGTCAAGTAGTGCTTTTTTAGCCTGTGACTAGAAGACAGAACTGCATTGTGGAGGCGACAATTCTGTAGCATTGGCCACAAAATAAAATTTGGTTTTAGTTATAGTTTGTAAAGGAGGATGTAAAACTAAACTTACTAGCTTTAGTCACAAAAAATCTCTCCCCATAGCAAAGAAGGTTTGAAGTTGGAATTATTTTTTTTTCAGTAAGGAAAACTTTTAAAAGGAAATTATCTCAGCTCATTCTCAAGCCATCTGCATTCCTTTATTTGTCTGGTTCTTTGTATATTTGGATCTGCTTTGTGCAGAGCAACATGGAAGTGGTTCTGACCAGGTATGGCCACTCTGTCTTCATGCTTTCTAATTCTTAGTTTTGCATGTCCCACTATTGCTACCGAAGAACTTGGCATCCTATTACAATAAGTAGCTGTAGGTTGCATTTCTGAGGCTTTGTTTCAAATACTGGAGGTTTTTTTCCTTCATTTTTGCAGTTTTGGTGTTGCTGGATTGTTGTTTTTTAAACGTAGTATTAATAAGTTCAGATTGAGAAAGATGTTTTGGGGTTCTACCCTACACCAAAACCTGAATGGTTGTTATTTCTCTCTTCTTTTTCAGTCTGTAGAACAAAATCTGGCTGCAAATGTTCACTTTTTTCTTTGCAGATTTTATGTATATGTGAAATTGACTTTCTGTATAGTTTGTTCCAAGTTCTGTATAACTGGTCACCTTTCTGTTAACAGGTGATTGCAAGAGTCAGTGGAACTGGGGATAGTTCTTTTCCTCTAGTTCAACAAAGTGAGAAGGGAGTAGGGGACACTGACTACTGTAGATGCACAAATCAACAGGGAAAATCAGTAGGGTTCCAGTACTTAAATGTGTTGGAATGTACTGGCAATGTATGGAAGTAGGGAAAGAGGCACAAGTCAAGACAGTTGTCTGCTGTTGTGTATTTTGACCTTAGTAAAGTTAGGCAACCACTGCATACCAGTCCTTTAAGCAATCGTCTGTCTTGTGCAAAAAGGTCTTGTTGCCGCATAACAAAGTTCCTGAGCTTTCACAAACTGTCTTCCACTTTTTTTACTTCTTTTGAATGCAATGTACACAATTTAAATACAGCAGTAACTGAGAAATTTTCCTGACTCTGGATTCAGACATTGCAGTGGGGCTTCTAATTTTCTCTGATTAGTTTTTTGTTCTCCTCTTAGTATGTTGGTCCCAACAGGGATCGATAGCTCTCTCCATGTTTGCTGTCATCTTGGCAGTTTTCCTCCTATCTCCAGTAGTTAGAAATTACATTCTTCCTTTCTTCTGGCTTGCTTTTTGCATGTCTCAATCCAGTTTCACTTTCCTATAAAATTTGCAGGTTGGCTTGAAACAACACTTCAGAATAAGAACTACCAGTAGGAATGAAGATCAGCTCTGCATCTCAGAAAGGACTTGTCCACTTCATCTCTTTCACTTTTCATTGTGGTGAAAGGGTGATTTACAGCTTGTTATATTGATCAGCTTTCCTTTTAATGTCTTTGTCATATCTTGGAGTGCTTGTTCCCATTTCTGTAAAGCCTTGAGCCCAGGCCTGGGGAGAAAACAGGTTGGTGGCTGGTCTGTCACAGGCGTAAGCTGAGCTGCATAAGCAAAGTCGCTTTCTCAGAGTCTGTGGAAAGAACTTCTCCAGGAACTCGGAGCTCTCTCAAACCTCAGTGCTTGCTGTTCCAAGCACAACAGCCACTTTTCAACCATACTTTCTTTAACCAAAAAGCAAAACCAATCGGCATAGAAGAAAACATTTCATTTTGAGTATTAGTAGAAAAGGCAAGAGAAAGTACAGTCTGTGACACTGGATAATT